CTCAAATGTTCTTATAGAATGTGTGAATATAAATTATAACTAGGTGCAAGCAACGAGCAATGCACGTTTGCCTAGTTTATATTTAATAGTTTTGTTTAAGAATTAATTTGTTATTAATAAAGATGTAATTTTTTTGGTTAATTAAATAATTAGTGATGTAATGTTTATGTAATTGATAAATAATTAGATGTGTGATTTTGATGTTGTGATGTAAGTTGGTTAGATCGAAGAAAATAAATAAAAGTTGACAAATTTGGAGAAATGACTAAATTGTAAGGGATCTAAAGTTTGGGGACTAAAATGTAAATATTTAAAAGTTGTGTCAAACCTCACGATGAAGATTTGAGAGTGCTCGGAGTCAATTGGATAAAGGAAGACGTCAATGGAATCAAATTTAGTCAAAAAATGATTACAAATCAATTTCCAACCAAAAAATTATGCTCGATGTTTNTTTTAGTCTCATATTGAGACCTATTTTTGGCATAGAAAGTGATCGAATTGGAGAATGATGTCTGAATCAAAGTTGTAGCCAGATGAGTTAGCTTTCCAACGCATTTTGAATCGCCTCAATCGGATATCGGAATACAAAGTTATGATAAAAATACTGAAAGAAGGTGCAACTGCATGTTTAAAATAAGAAATTCCGTTATATAGTTCGTTAAAACAACAAATTCCGTTAGTTTTTCCGTTAAAAACAAGAAATTCCGTAACATAGCCACTTTTAATATATAGAAGATGTGTACAGAATAGAGCAGAGAGACTCTCTCGCACGAACGAATTCACAAAAAGCAAGTGATAGAAAGCCGTCTTTTTGCCAAACTTTACACCTTATCTAGAGTTTTAGTTTCTAGCTAGAATTATAATTGGTAATATGATGTAATTATAATGCCTGATTCTTTGGAGATATTAAAACAATCGATTCGAATATATGATGAATATTTACATTTTGAGATGAAACTCAATATGGTATGAGAATCCAACAAGTTCAAACGAGCACAACACAATTGATCGTAACGTTGATATAATTTTTTACATGTCATTCTTTAGTATGATTTAATCATATACAGTTTAGTGTACCAATTTTTCGTGAATAACATACCTTTGATAGTTGTCCAGCTCTCAATTGCAAAAACAATTTAATGATCAAAACCTATAATTCTCCAATGATATAACATCTTGTATCTCACATTTTTTTGCTCGTGGCTATATCCGAACCATTCCTCCAACTCATAAATTTGACACACTTATTTGACAAATAATCGTGACATTTAATTTAAGTCAATCAAACACTCTATTTTATGGATATCAAGTGGTTATAACAAACTCTCACATGATCTTAGTGAAATACATATTGAGCGTTGTGTTGACTTAAATTAAAGGTTACGATTATTTATCAAATAAGTGTGTCAATTTTATGAGTAGGAAGAACAGTCCTGATATCCTAAAATGTAAATAATTAAAGGGCTTCAATTGGGAGACAACTGTCGGATCGAGCCTACCTAAATTTGACAGGCCATGTCATCATTTTTGGCCATCAATTTGTCTGTTTCCCTAAAATTGGTAGAGGGCTTATGTGTATCTATAATGTGTCCCATTTAATTAATTTACACAAAATCTCAAAAATCCTATTACTCATTGTTGAATTGCAAACTTGAGGGGTAAAATAAAGTATAGAATAAAACAGTTAGCATTACTTAAAATATAATCCCACCATACACCAATACAAGAAAAAAGGTTACTCGAACAATATACAAAGATGAGAAAAAAAAATATTGTATATCGTGTAAAAGTTTAAACCGTAAAAAGGTAGATATTTATTTCTTTACATTAGTATCCCGTGCCTTCCATTTATAAACCAAGTCTATGTCGAAGTGGCTTGTGCGTCTCTCTCACTCAAAAATTTATGTGAATATTTTTTTAATCATATTATATTATGTATGATATTTATTATTAGGTTAAATAAATTTTACAAAACATAATTTCATAATTTTACCAATATTCTTGAAGACACTACGTTTTAATTGCATAATTTCTTGCTCCATGAAAATAATAGTTAATTGAGCTAAAAATAAAAAAAAAATTAGATATAAGAATTAAAATAGTCTGTAATTTAAAAGGTTCAATTTCCATTACAATTTCAAACCCTTAGAAAACACACGACCTTATCGAAATCAATTATTTTGTGGGTGTGAAGAAGCTCATCATGTTAGGGTTTCTTTTCTTTTAGTTTTGGGCCAAACCCATGTAAGTATTTATGTTAGATTAAAAGGAAAATCTAGCTCTTTGGTCCCTTTTATTTTCAAATTTTTATCTCTCTTATTTTCAACTACACATTTTTCAATAAAATAATATTACACGTAAATACAAAACTTTTTCTTATTTTTTAACTGCACATTCTCCATCTAAATACTATTCCAAAATGTATTTTGAAGAAAAATAGGGCTCAAACGGGCACATAACATCACCAAATCATTTAGGGGGTGTAAAGAGTCGAGTAAATGTGTTCACTTGAAAAATGTACCATCTCGAACCCCAATTTAGCAAAAATATTGAGGGTTGAGTAAGCATGTCTAGGTTAAATATCTCATAAAGTCATTCAATCCTCAGTTACATTAACATGAGGCTCAACGATCGATACTTACATAATAATCAGAATATTTTGGTGCCGAAGACAAAATTTAAACAAACAATTATATTCCATCGCTAATATATAATAACTTAAATTTTTAGATGAGATGATTAACATTGTATTAGGACTAATAAAGATCTACCTTCAAGTTTTGCCGCTACCCATTTATAAAATAACCGTACACACGTATCAAGTCTATGTTGAAAAATAAATCCAACCTACACATGAAGGGGCGTAAAAGACAATCTTTAAATAGATCTCTCTTTAATAGATTAAACTTGTGGTTCAACAATTAAACATGCAATGAGCTCCACTCCAATTAAGCTACAATACCAAGAAAGAAATTACCATTTTTTTCATGCATTGCACCAAATTTTATTCTCATATAAGTACGAAATTTGGATTCTGGACTTCAAGATTTACGCAGATAAATTTTATCAGCAGTCCAAACATCTCTAATTTTTCACCAACTCTAGTTCTTTATTTCCTTTATCAGCATCTAAGAAATTTGACAATTTTCCATTTTGCTCAGCTGACTCCAAATCTTCATCACCGCTTTCAGTTTCAGTTTGCTCATTTATGGGTTTATATGTATAATTCCATGCACAAATCACATAATATATCATGTTTATTACTTGTATTGCTGTAACAAGCCAGTAATAATTCTCCAGTCTTCCCCTATTCAAATTTCTGTCTGGTAGCCAGTTTCTGTTCTTGCCAGTGTATTGGTGCACTAGAGATACCATGAGGGTGCTTATGTAATTCCCCATTGCTATTGCTATCCAGAAGAGTGCAGCTGCAGTGCTCCTCATGCTCTCGGGCGACTGATCGTAGAGGAACTCGAGGTGGCCGACCGACATGAAAACCTCGGCTAATCCGTGAAGGCAATACTGTGGAAGTAGCCAAAAGACAGTTATAGGAATGACTGCAGTTGGTTGGTCCAAAAGGTTATTTTGTGCTGCTGCTGTTTTTCGTCTGATTTCAATAAAGCCTGAAGCTATAGTTGCGATAATGTTGACGCCGAAGCCTATCCCCATTCGTTGTAGGCATGTTATGCCCACTGGATTGCCTGTGAATCGACGAGCTAAAGGGACGAAAAGGCGCTCGTATAGAGGTAGGCCGATGAGGACGGTTAGGGTACTGAATATCGACATGCTTGCTGGTGGTATCTGGAAAGAGGGGGACAGATGGCGATCCATGCTACGAGCTTGTTGGATCGTAAAACTGCCTAAATGGGAGTGTGAAGCGACGAGTAGTATTGTGGCTGCCCATATAGGTAGCATTCGGATGATGGACTTCAATTCTTCAATTCTGTGCACAGTAGCTAGCCTCCACAGATTTGGTTGATTTGATTCATTTATATCAGAATCAGTGACTATAGCAGCATGATCTAACCACCTTCAGATAACAGCATATATAAGAAGTATAAGCAAATCATTTGATGGACTAATAGTCAAAAACTGCAAGAAATATATCGAATCGCTACATAGTAAATTGAAACAGAGAGAGAATTTGACAATCTAAAAATGCAATGTGCAAAGATGCACATTAATTTTGTTACAGGTAAAGACACGTTCATACGCTGGACATGAATGAGGAAGATAATCGTGTAACAATACTCCTCAGTCGTGATCTCATTTTCAGTCTAGTCCAATTTACAAAACTTGGCGACAAATTAATCAATCAAAACAGTCATCTAGTAAAATCTTACTTGAATTGATCGGAGTGCAGAAGCCTCCCATTAATAGAGATAGCGGCATCAAGCTCCTTGTTTTCGTACAGGAGGTGAGGGTCATTTGGCGTGACAGCATTTCGTTTCTTGACAGCTGCGACGATTACCTGTGTCACTCTAACAAAAGGGCTACCTCCCGGTTTAATTTTCTTATACAGACGGGAGCCTAAAACGAAAACCACTATCGATATACCCATCACAATAGTTGGAACTCCAAGGCCCCAACCCCAACTCACATTGTCTTGGATATAAACCACAACAGTTAAAGCAGTTAGAGAGGCCATTCCCATGCAGAAATAGTACCAATTAAAGAAATTCCAACTTCTTGAATCTGTTTGTGCTTTGGTCATATCAAACTGGTCTGCAGCAAATGTAACTACACAAGGCCTAATGCCACCAGTGCCTAAAGAGGTTAAGAGGAGAGCAATGTAAAGTACCCACAGCTGCAGGGAGGAGGCTTCTTGGCAATTCACCTGACTCGGACACGGTGGGGGACGGAGCTTAGGCAGGACCGCCGATAAAGTGATGCTAACCATCCCCTGTATAATAAATATGTCATGTTACATTTGATCCACAGCTATAGAAAATTTGAACTATAATTAGTTTTGGCCCTAAATGTAAGAAGTCTAGTCCATTGGTACTGATTCAGCAGTACAAATACTAGTTTTTCGAATATCAACTAAGGTCATTTTCAAGAAATTTAGTAACTCGTTAGTCATTCAAACAAATTTCTCTTTTTCTTTAGTTTTGGAGGGAGAGAGAGAGAGAGAGAGAGAGGTACAAACCAGGACATATATAATAGAAGCCACAACAATTGTCCAATATCTGCCAGCGAAGGAGTCAGCAATAAAAGCACCAATAAGAGGGGTAAAGCTAGAAGTTCCACCAAAATTAGTGAGGGTGTTGGATGCCTTTACCAAAGGCAAATTCAGCACTTGAGTGAGATATGTGATCATATTTGCATAAAATCCAGCACCAGCAAATCTATCACATATTTCATTTGCTGTCAAAAAACATAACCATCAATTTGTCAATTCATAGCTCAGTTTTATTAGAGTCATGCAATGTATAACATTATTACTAGAATTTAGCAACTACTTTATGTACATTGAAAAAAACCACTAAAAAGGCCGTATTTAATTACGACTTACGTGATACCAAGAAAAGCACGAAAAAATAGCACAAAACGTCCCTACCTTTCAATTTCATTGTGCAAAACGTCCATACTTTTCATTTTTTGGCATTTTCACCCTTACCTTCCACCTTTCATTGCGCAAAATGTCATTTTCAACCATTTTTCCAATAAAATGACAATTTTACCCTTCCATTCAAATATAACAAAAAGAAAAGAAAAGAAAAAATAAACAAGTAATTGCAATCATAGTTCTAAAATTTTCAAAATATTACAGATAAGTCCTAAATTCTCCACCACCACCACTTTCACAAGTCACAACCCCACCAAGCCGCCACCTATAGATCCACATAGCACCACCTTCCGGCCACCACACCCGTCAGACTCCACCACCACTAGCTTCGCTTCACTCTCCCCAACATCCTCTCCCACAGTATTGGTCACAAAATCTGTGAAGCGAGATTGGTGGTGGTGAAGCCCGGTGGGCGTGGTGGTCGAAAGGTGGTGCTATGTGGATCTATAGGTGGCAGCTTGGTAGGTTGTGAAAATAGTGGTGGAGTAGAATTTCTGATTTCTTTGTAATTTTTTAAAAAACTCAAGGACTATGGTAGCAGTTGGTTTATTCATCTTTTTCTTTTTCTTTTATTTGAATAAGACGGTAAAATCGTCTTTTAGTAAAAAAGTGATTGAAAAGGACCTTTTGCGCAATGAAAGGTGGAAGGTAGGGGTGAAAATGCCAAAAAATGAAAGATAAGGACGTATTGCACAATGACATTGAAAGGTAGGGATGTTATATGCTATTTGCCCTACTAATATGTATACATGGTGTATAAAGATTCCTAATGCAATTTTTGTATGAACTATAGGCCAAAAAGTTCATGAACCTTAATTTAAGGTGAGAAAAATAGTATATAAATCTTTAAAATAGTTAGTAAGATGATCCTTCTGTCATTTTCTGCCACAATTTGTCATAGAATTCTAGACTATGTCAATAAATCGAATATGCATAACATTGTATTCAAAACATCTAAATTTCTTTATTATTCTATCTGTCAAAGCAAATTTATTACTTATCTAATATCTTAAACTTTTAGATAAGCAGTTTAGAATAAAACTAAGCATCTTAAATTTAAGTATTGCCGTCACTAATTCAATTTGAAGCTGAAGAGCATGTTTGTATCCTTTCTAACCGCTTAACCTTCTATATAAGTGGTTTACCGATTCCTGTGTGTTCTTGTTTTTCACAGATTATGCCTGAAAGCTAAACAAGAAGCTTAATCCAACAATTCATAGCCACAGTTATGATAGTACACTAAGAGCAAATTTTGCTGAGCTTAAAAAGTTCAATTTAAAGAAAATTTACTTAAAAGTAAGAAAGAATTAAAGTTTTAAAGTGCATGAATTGTTTAGTAAGTTACTTTTTCAATCTTAAAGTTACCTAACGAGGACAAAAAGTTACCAAGGAGAAATTTCTTCTAGCTTTTTTTTTTTTTTTAAGCTTTGACGAATACAACCATTATCTGTGTAAATGTGCATAATCACTTAATGTAGAAGATGAGAATGTAGACTCACCTAGGATAAATGGCATTGTTCTAACTCCTCCAAGCTGTTTCTTTTTGTACTTGTTCCCATTTCGCTTCTTCTCTTCGCCATTTTCAGTCATTTTCTTCTGTAACTCAATCTTCGGCTCCATATCAAACGAGTAAAGGCCTCGATTCAATATAGGTTGCTAATCGTATTCGAGTATGATCTAACACGGCAGTCTATGGCCAGCTCAAGTCACTCACAGCTTCGGTATTTATCAGCAATGGTTGATGTCAGTAATGGAGAAATTTTTGTACTGTAACTTACTTAGTGGTGTGGACCAAAATATTGAATTGATTGACATGTGATATTGTTCACTGAAATAATTGGTCTCTATGACCAATGTGAACTACTTTTCAGTTGAATGTAGAAATTACAATTATTTACATTCACTAGATAATGATCTAGCCAGGCCAAAAAAATTATATAGATACATTTTTGCAGATATTTATTTGATAATAATATATATAGGTTTTAAACTTGTATTTTTAATCATCTTTACATAATAGAACCTTATCAAAAAATTTAAAAAAATGAGCAATTTAAATAGTTCAACAATAATTTCATTACTTTTTCAACAACAATGGAATACAACACAACTCGTTTCTATGAAAGAAGGCTATATGGAGTCGAAGGTAGTGTGTGTTCTTCCTTATCTTATTTTCGCACGAAAATAATAGACAAATTGATCAAGACTGACAAATATAGGAACAATAACTTCACATGCATATTCAAATCAATGAACCAAACTTCTTGTACAAATTAAGTTGTCTTCTCAACCAAATACTTTTTTGCCGATATGTTAAACTGAATAAAACTCGGAACGATAAAAAAAATATTAATATGTTCAATATAATAGATACTTGTTATTGAGAGTTGCAAGTGGAAAAAAGTTAACAGATTACCCTTGACAACAAATTAAATAATAAATTGGTGCTCTCCCATTGTGGAAGTTTGGCAGTGAGGAAATTCTATTTTGCTTCAAAAAAGTGGGTATGAAATGAATAATATAAAAGGAAATAAAATAGTAAAAGAAAATATGAAACCAAGAGTTGTTCTGATTTTCTAAAACATACAACTTCCTAGGAAATGGATTACAGATGGAAAGATATTCTACCCTATTATGCAATCTGACAACTACATTTAGAAACTTTCAAAAATAAAAACTCATTAAATTTCGTTATCTAGAAACTTGAAATATTAAATAGTTCAATCATGTTACAAGTACATTGTTTTTGACATTAAGTTTGGTATTGTGCCACATGTTGCAGCATGATTGGCCAGTTTGAAAATACAATACACTTTCCAACCCCTCCATTTTTGAATTTGCAAAGGAGTGTCAAACTCCGTGTACACAAGGAGTGTACAAGGAGCATAATTTTAAATAGTTAGCTTGTATATTTAGCGTTACGACCTCTCGCAGAGAAACCCACACGATTTCTTCGCTAAAAATAAACCTCGCAATACTCTCCCCCGAAGAGGTACAAAAACCAGAGGCAAAGGATAGAAAGCATAAGGTTTGCCTGAAGATTGAGAACCATACAGCATAAACAGGATGGCTTCAACCTGTCGATAAAGAGCACATGAGCAAATAGACAAAATGTGATCTTTAACCGAAATCAATTATCAAATTACCAGTAAAGGGCAGCCACATGACACAACGCAAAAATTATCAAACTACCTAACGTTTTAGAGGGAAATCTATCCCCATTTGAGAAAGGCGTGCAATTTAAATATCTTTTTGTCAAATAACTATTTCTCATTTTGTTCTGGTTTAAACTCTGGATTAATACATTTAGGAGGTGAAGCTCATAGTTAGATGAGAAGATTTATTGATTGTAATCACGGTGATCTTTAATTATAATCGTTTATCCATAAAATCATTCGATCCAATTTTTACTGTCGGCATTTAGATTTTGTCTTTAATTTATTCAGCCCACCACCACCGAAAAAAGTATGTAAAGGAAAAATAAAAGAAAACAAAAGGATATTATGCTCCGATTAATATGCTAGAAGTAAATTTCTAGATAAAAGTTAACTTTGCTGACATATTTGCTTACACAACTTCATTAAATGATTGAAGAGGTTTATGGTGTTACGACACAGGATAAGAACCATATCTTAGCATGAATCAAAAAGGTCACAATTCTTTCATTAAATCCACACAGTTTTATACTGCAGACAGTCCCACTCTTCACAAATCAACGCATGTACCGTTTTCTTTTGGATTTTTCCAACTTTTGAACGGACTTCTGAGGTTGGTTTAACGAACACTTGTATGCTGCATATTAGCTGCAGGTTCAAGTTTGGACCATTTTTCGATTTGCGCGTGCCATCTTTGTGCAGCAGTGCAGGGATGATGTTAATTTTCTCTTTGTGTCGTTCCAATCTGGTCACAGTTTCACAAAGGGATAGTAGCATGTCGAAATTTGTTTTCTAGGTAAACATCATGATAAAACATGTGAAGATGTGTATTTGTGATTACATCAGAATGAACGCTATTTTGTTTGGTTAAACAATCGATTTTTTAGTAAATTTTTATATATAAAAAAAAACCGTCCCACCTTTTTAGCTTTTTACCCACTCCCGCCCACTCCCACTTTATCATCCACTCTTTATATATAATTTTTTAAAAAAATTTTTGTCTCAATTTTCGAGGTCTGTATAAAATGTCAAACGAAGTAATATTGCATTCTTAATATCATTTCGAAGTGCTCACGACCTAATTTCTCGCATTATTAATGGCGAACGAAACAGCCAATTGTAGCAAAAATTACGATTCGTCAAAATAGACTGTTTCAAATTAATATTTCGAAAATTTCGATAACATACTAATTTTAAAAATTTGCTGATGATCGTACGCTAACTGGATTTATAAATCGTCTATGTCATCTTAAATTTCGATTCGAGAATATTGTAGACATATTGAATGGCACAAACGAATATTGTTTGAACATCGAAAATAATTAATTAAACGAGCATCTCATAACTCATTTTTACTTTTAAAAATTTCAATTATTTCATTTACATTCATTATTTTTGCGCGACGCATTTCTTAATATAATTTACATCATTTTATTAGAATATTTTTACATGTGGAATGACGTCAAAAAATTTTGGATTATTATACAAAATATAATAAATTAACATTGAACAAGGTTCAAATTCGAATTATGTTTTTTCCTTTTCAATCCATGTTCTGAAAAATGAAAAAAAATATTTTTTGTAACGATCCGAATTTTTTTTACGTCATACTCATGTAAAAATATCCTAATAAAATAATGTAAATTATATTAAGAAATTTGTCACGCAAAAATAATTCAAAAAATTTAAAGAAAAAAATGAGTTATGCGCTTCTTTTTAAGACACTTGTTTAATTATTTTCGATATTCAAAAGATATTCATTTGGACCATTCGATATATGTATAATATAGTTCTCAAAATGAGCTTCAAGATGACATAGACAATTTATAAATTCGATTAGCATACGATTGCCAACAAATTTTTAAAGTTGGCATGTAATTGAAATTCACGAAATACTAGTTTAGAACGACCTATTTTGGCGCGTTGTAACTTTTGCTACAGTTGGCCTTTTCGTATATTGTCATGCGAGAAACTAAATCGTGAGCACTTCAAAATGATATCAAGAATGCAATATTTCGATTTCGCTTGACATTCCATAACGACCCCGAAAATTGAGACAAAAATAAGAAAAAAACATTAATATATAAAGGGTGGGTGATAAAGGTGGGAAGGGTGTGGGGGGTGGGTAAAAATGGGGTGTTTGGGTAAAAATTTAAAGAGTCGTAAGGCCGTAAGGGAGTAGGGGGAAAACAAAAAGTCAAAAAACAATCAAAGGCTCTACTGATGTGACACCGTCACCAAGGGCGGAACACAATCGTGCATAAAATATGAGATTAGAATGAATTCGTAAGAGATGAATTCTAAAACATTGGGATCAAACAATGACTAAATAAGATAAGACGTCAAAGATAAATTGTGCCGTGATAGACGACTTAATAGATAGAATATGTCTTGCACAAATTTTAAAATAACATTAACCTTAGCACAATAAGTTAGAAAAGAGAGGGGCAAGCTATTGTAATATATTATGATTGCATACAAATTTTTCAAAAATGTAATAATGAACTGAAATAAGTAATAAAAGAAAGAGTCATGCTACTTGTACAAAGTTAGGTTTCAAAATTGGTTTACAAAATACGTGATGACAACATCTTGGTCAATGATTTAGAAAACAGTTTTTGAAATCAATGACCTAAATCTTAGCACATCATTTTATCAACATACATTAAACTACATTTGTACAAGTAGCATAATTTTAAAAGAAATTCATAAAGTCGACCTCAATTTGGAAAATGCTACTTGTACATTAAGGAGTACATAAGGGTGTCCATATATACACCTCAATGTACTTGTAGCACCTCCCCCTCAATTTATACTGTTGGAGAACAAATCCTCAGGCTCATGAAAAGAAATGAGGTTTACCAGGATTTTACACAATCTCCCAGTGGTGGGCCCCACTGTAATTTAAAAAAAAAAAATCAAATCACGCATCCCCTCCGTACATATAGCACTTGGATCCATGCGCCTGATATACCAAAATTGCTTGTATCTGAAAATGGTAACTTGGAATCCAAAAAGTTGTTGTAGCTTTCACAGTTTCTTAGAATTGACAACCACTGAGTTTTGTAATGAGATCAATTTCAAGCTGCCTTGAATCCGCGCACTCGAGGACCAATCGAGGAAATCTTTGCACGTCTCCATTAATACTGTAAATAATAAATATACTTCATTTTAATGAGATTTTGAAATATTAATTTTTTGAAAAATGCGTGATTAAAAGAAGAAAATGTTTTTTGATTTAATATTATTTAATTGAGAATGTATGGTTGAAAAAAATAAAGAAAAAAATTACTAAAATTAAAATGGAGCCCAAATTGGGGCTGAATCTTTGTACTCGAGGACCAATCGAGGAAATCTTTGCATGTCTCCATTCATACTATAAATGGGACACCAAGATTTTATGCTAAACAGCTTTGATAGGTGCATTGCTTTAACACAATAAAAAAGGAATATAATAAATAAATA